CTGTGGCTTGCGAGCCGCAGGCGGCTCCTGTGTACCATTGGTGCGCCTCGCAGTTTCGGACCGAACACCTCCCGAATACGTCAAACCTTTCTGTCAGGCTGTTTTCGATGAAGGAACAAGAGCTTCTTGGAGCTCAGCGTGTGGTTCTTCTCTGTGCGGGAAACGTAAAGCAAAACTTTCACAGAAACCCACCCAGCAATTTTGAGGAATTACAGATTTATATCTGGAATGTTCTTCAAGGAATCAAGGAAGACAATTTTCATTTTATTTCTCACACATGCGAAATTCCCTTCTGGTGACGACATTTAGTACTGGAACATTTTAGCTAGCATTTTCTTTTTTCATAGATGTGTAGTGCAGCACATGCCATATGTCGTCAGCCATTTCAAACCAAATGGCAAAGAGTATATATCGATATTAATCTCGTCTCTACTTAAGGCTGACGCTTCCAGTGATCCAGGACTACATTCACAGCGCTTCTCTTCAGTATCGGACGATGACATTAGACTCATATTTGCATAACTAATAATAATATTGTCAATGTAATGTGCTGCCAAGTGGCCAGGGGTATGTGTGATCGTTCATTATAACTCCTAAACTTTGAGGGATAGAACAAAAGTCTTTATTCGTGGGGGCTCTCAGGGGTATCACGATTTGAACAACGTACTTTCGCCGCATCATTAATAAATATAGATGGAAGAATATATAATAATATTATGAATATAAGAGGCAACTTACCGCAATATGTTTGATGTCTTGCAGAAAAACAAAGAGCTCATAGCCTTTCCAAAGGCAAAAAGTCGAATCGTACTGTCTGGAAATTTCGACCATATTTTGCAACATGTCTGCAAAGAAATACGATTGTCACAACCTTTGCGAGATCTAACATGCATGATGCGGCTTTCAGAGATCGAAATCCAAATGCTTAGGCAACTCTTTACGGCACGACAACGCCATTTTCTTCAATTCTTGAAATCCGGGCGAAGCATTACAGTAACATTACTTCTGAGTGTCTTGCATATTTACTTCGAAGGTTTGTTTAAACTGATTACTTACATTAACACGTGTATAATTCGCTTTATTCTGATACAAACAAAAAAAAAACTCCGCGATTTTAGTCCGCAAGCTAACTATACCGACCCAGCGACCGCCGCTTGTCGGCGTATTTAGTGTCAACCTTAGCGGATAGAGAGTGTCGCGTGGTCAACGCAACGAATCCCCATCGCCGTTAATTTCGGTTTTCTAGACCGGAGCCGCTATTTCCTTGAAATAGCTCCTCAATTATCATCACGAGGCTGAGTGTACCCCGTTCCAGACCCACCATTTCTCAGAAAAAATCTGGTAGC